GTGCCGTCGGCAACCAGGTACATCACAGCCAGGGCGCACTCCTCCGGCGTGCCCATCCGGCCCAGCAGCTGGGGGGTGGGGGGAGGGAGAGAGATCAGCCACTGACCCTGCCCCCCCTACTTCCCACTCACCCTGCCCCCCCCACTGAGATCCCCCCTGCCCCTCCAGTGCCCCATCGACCCGGCCCCCCTCCTCCACCCTCCCAATGAGATCCCCCTCCAGCCCCCTGCCCCCCACTGAGATACCACCTGCCCCTCCAGTGCCCCATCGACCCGGCCCCCCTCCTCTGCCCTCCCACTTATGCCCCCACCTATGCCAGCCCCTCTCGGAGATCCCCCCACCACCTCACTTTTCCCCTCCTACTCCCCAGTTTCCTCCTCCCCCCCTGAGATGCCCCCTTTCCACCAGCCCCAGCCCTTCCCCCCACCTGGGTTATGGCAAACCCCTCCCCGCCACACTTTTCCCATAATGCACTTGCCTGGGCATCCTTCCCAGCCTGGATCGTGGCCTCCGGATTGGCCGTCTGCCCGGCTGTCTCCGCCCACATGGGGGTCCAGATGTTCCCAGGAGAGATACTGGAGTGGTGGTGGTGGGGGGGAGGAACCACAATCATTTGGTATCGACCCCGCCCTTAAATTCTTACCCCTTCCTGACCAAGAGACCAGGGCTGTGAGCTTCCCCACAGCAGTGCCCCCCAGCCTGTGACACCCCCAGGGGTGCTGAGAGCTTCCCCATGACAGTGCCCCCAGCTGGTGACTGTCCCAGATGCTGCGAGCTTCCCCGCAGCAGTGCCCCCAGCCGGTGACTGTCCCAGACATTGCAAGCTTCCGCACAGCAGTTCCCCCCAGCCCTGAAGTTGTGTGTGCATGGGGGGGTTGGGGTTCATAAGATACCTGTTAACTCGCACCCCGTATCTGCTCTCATCCACCGCCATGGCCTTCGTCATCGCCGTCACTGCGCCCTGGGGACAGACTCCAGCTCGAGGGGCTCCTGAGATACACCCCCACCCCAAACTCCAGGCCCCGGGGGGAGGGGAGGTCACTCACAATAGACCCAACCCCAAACGTCTGATCAGCATTGGCTAGAGGCACAGGACACCTGGGTTCTCTCCCCTGCTCTGGGAGGGGAGTGGAGGCTATTGGTGGGAGGAAGGGGGCTGGGAGCCAGGACTCCTGGGTTCTCTCCCCGGCTCTGAGAGGGGAGTGGGGGCTAGTGGTTAGAGCGGGGGGGTGGGGCTGGGAGCCAGGACTCCTGGGTTCTCTCTCTGATTCTGCCGGTACCTTGGTGGCGACGTAGGGAACAGCCTGCCTCTGTCCGATGATGCCAACGAGACTGGAGATGTTGATAATGTTGCCCCGGGTCTCCCGTAGATAGGGCAGGGCGAACTGCACCGGAGAGATGAGAGGGAGGAGGGGGAGATGCAGCCACTTCTGGGGGGGGTGCAGGGGCTGGGTATACGGGGACCCTCCCCGGTGCTGGGCTGCGGCTGACTCTGGGGTGGAGCACGGGGGCTGGTTCTACAGGGACCCTCCCTGGCACTGGGCTGCGGCTGGCTCTGGGGTGGAGCGTGGGCAGTGGTTATACGGGGAACCTCCCTGGCGCTGGGCTGCGGCTGGCTCTGGGGTGGGGCACGGGGGCTGGTTCTACAAGGACCCTCCCCACCGCTGGGCTGCGGCTGGCTCTGGGGTGGGGCGCAGGAGCGTCTCTCACCTTTGCTGTCAGGAAGTAGCCGACCAAGTTGACCTCGAGAAGTTCCCGGAAATGCTGGGAGGTGACGTCGTCGATTTGCTCTTCGGGGGGATCTGGGGAGGGGGTGTGAAAAGCAGGACGCAGGCCCCTGAAAACGCCCCCCTCCTCCCCCGAAGCTCAGACCTGGGGATCTCCATTTCCCCTTCCAACAGGACAGCGGGGCCCATATGCCCCCTAATTGCCCCCCAGCTCAGGGGTTCCACCCCCCATTCCAGGATGGGCCCAGGGACACCCCTCCCCGCCCCCAACGATTGGGGCAACTCACGACGTCCGGCGTTGTTCACCAGACAGTCAATGCGTCCGTAACGCTGCCGGGTCACCGCGATCAGCGCCTGGGTGGGAGAGAATGGGGGGGTTGTGGGTAGGGGTGGCAGGGGGAGCATGCGGGGGGGGGTTGTGGGGAGGGGGCAGGGGGAGCATGTGTGGGAAGAGTTGGGGTGAGGGTAAGGGGAGGGGGAGTTGGGGCAGGGAGGGGGGAAGCAGGGGTCAGGAGGAGGGAAGGGGTGTTGGGGGGCAGGACAGAGGTGGGGGGAATTTGACCCGTTAGGTTCCAAGCTGAGGTGACCCCGACCTCCACCCCCGGGCACTGCCCATCCCGCCACAGAAAGCCGGGGGGGGGACTGGGGACACTGCCCCCCCTGCAGCATCTGCCCCCTCCCTCCAACTGGGACAGATCCCCCCGCCATCCCCCCCGCCTACCTGGATGTCCCGTTCACTAGTGACATCACAGGGCTGGAAATGGGGGTCTCCGGGGCCCCCCGAGTCCCGCAGCGCCTGCTCCAGTGCCCGCCCCGCAGCCCCTGCAAGGGAAAGGAGGGGATGGTGACAGCCCGGGGGGAGGCTGGACACCAGGGGAGGTGGGATCCCAGGAGGGGGCAGGCAAAAGGAGGGTGGGGGGGGCAGCCAAACACGGGGGGGGGGGGTATCCAGGAGTGGGGAGGAGCCGGATACGCCAGACACTGGGGGGGCGCACCCATCACAGGGGGAGGACAGATTTGGGGGCTCAGAGAAATATCCACCCCCCCCAAACCAGCACCCCACATCCCCTGCCCAGCACCCCCACCCCGGAGCTCCCAACATGCAGCATGGGGGTCCCCAGAAAAGTGGGGAGTGATTTCTCACCTTCAGCTTCGGGGGCACAGAAAACCACGTGAGTCCCCTGCCGAACTGGGGGGGGACAGAGAAAAGAGGGGGCCGGGAGGGGGACAAAGGGGGGAGGAGAAAAAGCAGGGCACAATGGGAGAGGGGTATGAGAGAATGAAGTTAGCATCAAAAACACCAGTGCCAGTAACCCCCCCCCCGGGTGCTGCGAGCTTCCCCACAGCAGTGTCCACAGATGGGAACGCCTCTCCCAGCTCTGCAAGCTTCCCCGCAGCAGTGTCCCCAGACAGGAACTTCCCCCCTGCCCCCAGCAGTGTCTCCAGACGGGAACGCCTCCCCCAGCGCTGCGAGCTTCCCCGCAGCAGTGTCCCCAGACAGGAACTTCCCCCCTCCCCCCAGCGCTGCGAGCTT